GTGTGTACCAGGGACAGGTGCAGATCCCAGAGCCGGCCACCAATAACACGTCAGTTAGAGCTTCTGAAAGGCCGTGTCTCGGAGTTACGAGCTGCATGTAAACCAGTAGGCACTTTTTATTGGTGGTGGGTTTAAATTAAACTACATTTGTGAATATGAGGCTACGCAAACACAAACACACACACACAATCAGACACACATACACACAAAAAAAGGGATGTTCCCAGAGTTTGGTAATGAATGACGCATTTGACAACGAGCCACAACCCAGCTTTTTCCCCCCAGAGAGTATACGGAAAAACACTTAGAGTAAAACAACACCTATAATATCATTAGAAGTCCTCCAAACACCTCATTTCCTAAAATGATAATGTAACTGCTCTCACCTCGAGCACGCCAGGAGAGATTTAGGGATACGCCAGATTTCATGTCACGTCTTCAAGTCCAAGAGTAGTTTTTGTAAACAAACTCTGGCTTTGGCAAAATACTACATTGTTTGCTACCTAGTATTTTAACTATATGCACATGTAAGGGTAAAGTTTTGGCTCGGTTGCAGTCATCTATAATTCAGACTGCAAAGAGCCTTCACACATAATAGTGTAACAGCCTTGAATCAATGGGAGATGACTGCCTGCAGTGTAAGCCAGTGGGGGTAGGATGTTTACAGGCCAACAACGCAGCCTCATGTGGTCCACCATTATAATTACACCCAAGGGCAGATCTTTTTCTAAAACAAATTAAAAACCCAAACAGGCCCTGTAAAAAGCATAACGGATATCAAGTAAATAAGAGAAACGGTACGAGGGTGCGCGTTAACCAAAATCGCTCACACACATAAAAAAAAAAATCAGCACTTTCAACAGTTTATCTGCCAGCTTTGCTAATGCTCCTCTGTTATGTTAAAAACAGACTCTTTATCGGCTCCAGTTAACGAGCGCAGAGCCATGAGAACTGACTCCTGCACACAAATACTCCATGAGAACCTTGAGTGAGAAGGCGACGGGAGAAAGTTTTGGCTTTGGCAAAAAACTATTCAGTTTAGAGCGTCAACATACTTTCTTGTATATAAATGTTACTACGGCCTTAAGGGTTTAGTTGCTGTGCCTGTCCATTGACCGCCAGGCCTCATCATCATCATTATCATCATCATCATCGGTAACTGCTCTATTCTGCAGGGGAGAGGCTGGTCAA